CTAGTAATATATTTACTGAGAAAAATGGTGACGTGTTCAATACTTATTTTACCTGCTGTAAATATAGGCATTGTTTTTTTAATCATTTGAATTGCCTTGTCTTGTATCCACCTGTCAAGCAACATTAATTTATTGAGTTTTTTRTCTATATTAGGAAAATCACCAATAAAAAATCCATGCATGAAGTGACACAAAAAGAGTCAAACCAACCAACAGAACACATTCCCTCTTACCCTATAATTTACTTTTTGTTCTGCAGTTTCAAACAATAAAAAATAACTATTTCAGTGTGAGAAACAATGTTGGCACCACTCCATGTTTTTTAATTTGCTTAGAGCTTTAGAATCGCTGTATCAGTAGCTATTCAGAGCTACTGTAGTGAAATGATGGAAAATGATGGAGGCTTAAGGAGCAGAATGTGTGCTGTCCTTTTAATATAAATGGGTTGGTCAAAAAAACAACTATTTAATATCACTTTACACTAACGAAAACAGATTTTACACTGKAACTGTGACTGATGCTTGAATTGAAACTGCCTGCACACAATGCTGGTCAGTGACTTTATGAACATATGCATATTCCATTGTTTAGTACAAAAAATATATATATAAAAAAAGGACAAGCTGTGGAACATCATGATGCAGTRTAATGGACGAAGACTGCTTATATGTAGGAGTATTGTGCACAATTGACTTTTTTGAGATTTATATCACACAATGGCAGAATGACGGCTCAGTGGACCTGTAGTCTTTCTGTGCGGAGTTTGCATGTTCTCTTTGTGCTTGCATGGGTTTTCTCCAGGTACTCTGGTTTCCCCTACACCCCAAAAACTTGTACAAAATGTTGCCTTCAGGCCCAGTCCTCTCTTGAAAAATAGATCCGCAATCTGAATGGGATTTTCCTGGTTAAACAATGATGACATAAAATAAGTAAATAAACAATGTCAATCCCTCATCAAAAACATACCCAGGGTGTTGCTYTGACTTATTCATGCATGTTTGAGAAATTTTTGRATCTCCTGTGATAGACATGTGGATGTGTGGCTACCTAAATGCTTGCTGGTGCAAAGTACTGCCTAGTTGTACAAAGCTCTTCCCTGGAGCTCAGTGTGCAGCCAAGCTGTTGCCTCGCAGAGCATTCCTCCCCCAGAGCGTTGTTATGAAGATGTGCTGAAGTGGGAGTGTCAGGAACGGAGGTTCTTAAAAAGACCTAGGCATTTAGATGCAAAGTCAAGTTTATCTTTGATGCATACAATGTTTTTTATAACAACTGTAGGTAACATAATTACTTGTTTGTGGCAGAGAATTGAAGCGCCCCCCACACCCCTCCCCTTTAAATGTTTCACCACCGCATCTACTTTACTGCAGAAACAAGTAAACTGCATGCTATGAATGTTTTGAACAAATTACACTTTATTGAACTGAATTTATTTATTTGAAATCAAAGTATTTCATTACTCTGAGCATTAAAATCCTAAAATTTCAAAAGTGGTGTGCATGTTTCTATTATTATGCAGTCTTTATCTTCTTTGCTATTAATATTTCAAAAGCCTTTGTTGATCCTTGAATTTGTAAAGCAAAATGTTATTCCTAAACTTTTTTTAATAATTTGAAATCAAATTAGTAATAATTTGTTAAAGAGTATATTCCTAAGTACAGGCAGAGAGAGACCTATGAGACCTAAAAACTAATGACAAAATGTTTTGAGTATAAAATGAAACATCTATAACTTTTCTAGAACACATTTTTTAATTATTGTTTTAATAAMTTTTATTGTGACTCAGTGGGGAAATTAAACCTCTGCATTTTACCCATTGCACATGTAAGCAGAGAACTACAATTTAAGGAGACTAAGCACCTTGCTCAAGGGCCCAAGATAGGGCAAATGATTATTTCCCATTTACATGTTTATTGTCAAATTGTTATTGTTTTTGTAATACACTGGTAAATATGGTAGTCTTTCAAAAGATGGTTGTCCTTGTGGTGACTTATTTTATTTTCAAGTTTTGCATAAAAACTGTTTATTTTGCAGTTTTTTTTATTCATTTATTGGATGAGGACATTTATTTAGGATCTGAGAACTTCTCCCATCAGTACACTAATATATGTTATAGTAAACACACAGAATGAGGACTTTGTCTCATAAGCTTTGTAATCTCGCTTAGACTAACACAAGTCGGGAGTGAGAATGTGTTGCTTAGACAGAATAACTGTAGCTGTTAATTTATCCTGAGGTTCAAGGAGAATGTCAGACAGACATAAAGTGATGCTTCAGATCTTTTGGAGTAGGGTTCTTTGAAAAACGGTGCAAAATGCATTTCAGCTTTGTGCATCCGTTCTTACAAAAGCATCCTGTGAAGCTTTGYAAGCAAGCTGACTGAGAGGTACTAATAATATTGTTAATTACAGACTATCTCTCAAACAGTTTACACTCCATTGGATCCCACAGCAACACTCTGATGTGGCAGCTTGTCTTTCTGAGTCAGGACATACAGAAATAAATTAAAACCATTAAACACACCACTGATCTGCTGCATTTATCTCTTTTTTTTTAGTTTGAATACATTTTATTTTTATTATAAGTACAGTTCAGTAGTTACAAAACAAAGCTTCTGCCATGAGGAGGATACAGCAAAACATAGAGTGATCAGCTCACAAGACAGGTTTTGTACATAATATGTGGAGTGGAATGATCGTTATAGCTGGTTCAGAAAAGGAGAGAGCACGAGCCCGACTCTCAGCAATCTCTCATATTTATACAGAACACAGAGATTTCAAAACCATTGGTCAGTGCTTTCAGAAGATTACACCCAACTTTACTTTCACCCCTTTTCCAAACCCCTAAATGCATAATGTCACACTTCTTTTCATTGTCTCACATTTATTGTTTTAATTTCGAATCCCCTCGTTTGTAAAATTGAAAGTCATTGCAATCTATATATACAGTATATATATCACATTCTAATGAAGTGAAAACAAAATATTGTTGGCTGTACCACGGTCAAATCTTCACGCWGGAATTTGAGCTCTGACAGTCACCCAGGTGAAAGCAGTAACAGGCCCAAGCTGTTGGTCAGAAAGAGATTAGCATACAAGGATAAAAACAAAAGTAAAATTAATCTGAGGATCGGTTTGTCAAAGCCACATACAGTATAGAGGTTGATCAGACTAAAAAGAAAGGTAATATATGTGGACTGTACATACCGCATTAGACTTTTTATTATTATTTTTTTCTCCCCCTCTGGGTTCACAAAAAATGACATAGAAACATTTCACGATGCCAAGGGACACACAAACACACGCCTTCATTGTAGTTAGTTAGCTAGTTTTGTACTGTATAGGTTGGAATTATAATACTATCACAGTGCAAAATACTTCTGAGAATCAAAACAAATGAAAGAAATCAGAAAGTAGAAGTCCCTCTATGCATAATGGATCTGTATATATGGGGCAAATATGTTTGCAGCACAGGAGACGATTGTCATCTTTTTCCTCTTTTTTTTTTGTTTTGTTTTCTGATCAGTAAATGGACAAGGCATTAATGTACAGTACATATAAAAATTCAAAATCAAATGAACCCTACATCCTACAGTCTAGCACAGTTACATAGCTTTGTAATAGCAATAACAGATGACTTGTATCTAAGGCTATACACAATATGTCTTTTTTCCAGTTTTATGCTATTTTTTCTCATCTTAAAGTAAATACAGTACATCAAACCATTTTTCAGTAGTCAGTAACACTGTGCAACAATGATCAGTGGCAGTATTTTACAAACATCTGCAACACCAGAGTCCTCCAGGTTGACACGAGAGATGAGGAAATAAAGGGGGTCATAGGGTTTTTAAAGAAAGTTTTTTTTCCCAACTTTGTTTTATTTTGGAGTTTTCTTTTTGTTTTAATTCTCCTCTGTTAAACTCGAGAAGAACGCTGACCACGTGAGACGCTGGCCAATAATTTATTGTCACCTCTTAGCTTTTCTTCATTCGACATGTTTAAAACGTTCGCTTTGCTCAGCTAGGCTATATTTCTCTCTATGTACATTGAGCACCTATGGGTGCCGTGTTGATCTGGATCACAGAAGAAAGAAAAAAAAATACAATGTGCGGTTACGTAGTGGGATGAAGGCCTGCTCATGTTGACAAGAACGTTTAGGGCAGTTTGAATGACCACTCTTTATTTTATTTTTTTACAATCAATGTTTCTGTCACCAACCAGTTATGGGAACTGGAAAGACATGTTTTTAGGTTGAATAAAATGGTGATCTGTTCCTTGTTAATCATGATAGTGAGTTATGACAGCTGAAAAGTGAGCCACAGTTGCCTAGTTTGACAGGAATGTGCTTGGTCTCAATCAACAGTCTGGTAAAGTTGAGTTTCAATCCAGCAGTAGAATACATTCTACCAGGTACAATACAAGGATGCTTTGTAGACTTTTATAATAAGTATCTTCTTCTCTTAACAGGAAAGAGGGAAAAAAGAAGTATTTTATTAAGCATTACACTTCAGTCCTATTTAAAAATACATTATGTTTCTAAGTCAAGGAATGTCTCAGTAAGTACAGGGCCACTTACAAGAATCAGACAGGTAGTTTCATCAAAACAAAAAAAAAAAAAAGGAAATAAACAAAACAAAACAATGGACAACAAAGACAAGGAGCATTCAGACCACAGGAGACACAAAAAGGAAAGTTGTTGTCTCTTTGTTTAGTGTCCAAGAAATGTTTGGAAAAGTCATTAGGTCCATTTTGTGGATCCATCCTTAAAGGAAACTGTTGCAAACTTCTTGTTCTAAAGTTACCACCTTCTTTTCCCATGTTTTTTTTTTTATTATTTTAAATAAAGTTTTTTTAATAGTGTTTTCCTTCATTTAATCTTCATCCTTCTCGACATCATCATCCTTGCCTTCATCATCATCCGCATCCCTGTGCAGGTCGTTAGTCTTTGCTTACAGCGTGGGCGTCCAGCCCCTGCGGCTCACCTAGGTTATGGTGGTTAAGGTCGTTGTTAAGGTGGTTGGACTCGAGGGTCAGCGTGGGGTCATGGGCCATGGGCTGGTCCTCCTCTCCTACCCACAGATGCGCTACGGCCAATGAGAGAACAAGAGGCAGATTAGCACTATGGACCCAACAATGCAAACCCCACCCTACTCCCTCCCCCCATTGCAGCTCGCAGACACACATAAACACACACGTTAGCACTGAAATGTGGCATCGCATTTGAGACTGCAAGCTTAGGTRTAAAGTGACATTCATTAGTAATTTCTAATTTCTCACAAGTAACAGGAAAAAAGTTAGGATTTCTGCCCAGCACAATGAAAAATAGAGTTTTCATTCTTTTGGCCTTTATAAAAGTTATTTTCAAAGAAAACACATCAATTTTGTTAGMTCAATTTTAATTTCATTCAAATATATTATTTATATTTAGGTTCTTCATTTGATTCAAATATAGCTTACTTTTTGTTTGAGCTTAAGACATACAAAACAAAAATTCAGACATATGAAAAAAAAAAACAGTCTTAAATGAAACAAGCTTTTCAGAATATTCCATTTTTTAGATGCCACTGATGAAATGTGTTTATTGGGCTGTTCAAAGAAGAAAAGTGGACAGTGTCTCAAAAAAAGCCTGMAAGTGTTACACAGTTTATACATCTCATTTAATTTCTTTTTAAATTTTACTCTCAGGGATTTTCTTGCATTTTCAGGTGTTGCAGACATTTATTTCTTTGAAGGTTCTTGTGAAGTGACATTTTTTAATTGGTTGCTTGGTTATTTTTTTWAAATTTATTATTATTACTATTATTATTTTCATTTTGAAAGTATTTGTTGCCAGCACGTTATAACTGTGACAAAATGGAGTGCTTTCGTAGTTGATACAAGTGAGTTTTGGCTCAATAAGTGTGACAGTAAGTGTGACAGTGGGTGGGAAGTGAACTGAGTAATTCTATTAAAACAAAAGAAAAAAGAAGACAAAAAGTTTGAAATATCTGTGAGACACTAAGAAATGCATAACTATAATTAGGTCCCAGAGCAACGGCTACTAAATAATAACCCCCCCCCCCCACACACACACACACACACACACACAGACACCATTCATTTTTGCACTTTCATTCCCTCAGCAACTTCTTTGAAAATTATTTTGCAATAAAACACTGCCGCGCACATTTGCATGTCATGTTCTTAGAAAGTGGTGTTATGAATCTGACAAAACCAAATTAAAACACGGGTTTGTTTGAGCTACGTTTTCCCGAGTATGGKACTGGATATCAGAAGGGTAACAGGGGGGAAGTAAAGAGTTAATAACAAGATAAAACATTTCTCAGATTCAGCATTTAGTAATAACTCTGAGGCTGCCTGCATGGGGAGGGAACAGTAGTGACAAATACTCCATTTACAGTCTTACAGGGGATTCTGCTTTTAATTCTCTTTGGTTTAAATCTCCAGTTATGACAAAAATATATATTTTAAAACTAATTATTCAGGTACAAGCAGTACATTATAACATAGAGCTATGTAAGTCAATGACTGCACTCTAAAGGGTCTTTCACATCTCTATATAAAATAAACGTCTGCTTTTTTTTTAACTACTTTTGATGTCCTAACCAGCTACTGCCACCAGATGGCAAACTAAGACAGTAAATAATCCACTGAATCTGCTGTCAACAAAGCATTCTTCTGCATACATTCACACACCTGTCTTCTCTGATGGATGTTTAGTTTCAGTTTTAAACGTTGCACTGAAATGAGAAGCCAGTTTAGCTTTTCTGTTTATCACTCCTTTGTTCCTGTTGCCAAAAGCTGTCACAAGATCTTTCATGTGATTTGCGAGATCCGCCGTAACTTAAGCAAAAGCAAAGTTTCCTCGTTTTGAAGCGCCAAAAGAAAAAAAAAAGATTTTGTTTCTCCCCGAGGGCACTTCCTGTCCATGACTTCCCTGTAAAGAAACTTCCTGTAACAAGCTCCAGATTAGGCCCCATATTTGATTTTCACTGTTCATTAACTAAGCCACCTGGAATGTTATTATTTAAGCATGGTGCTCCTTCTCCCCAAACAACTGCCGCTGTGAAGTGGGGAGAGATTTTCTGGCCAACTTTATAGGTTTAGCATAACTTCCCCCTCGCAGTTTTTAATTTCCCATTCGGGTAGACAGCAGATGCACCTCACAGACACAGAAAACCTGCCTGGCATTCATTTATCACATGAATGCAAGGCTTATCTGTTTGTTTCCGTCAAACTGCCTCGGGGGGGGGTGGGGTGGGCTGTGTGCATACATGATGATTATGAAATGGCAGTGTGATTCTGATAAGAAAACAAAAGTCATCGAAAAGAATCTTGTCTCATATTTAATCAAAAGAAAATATATATATATAAGCAACRATCTACAGCACACGCTTCAGTCCTCTAACACAGTGTGAAAGAGTAAGCATGCCCTCTTGTGGCGTTTTGTGAGATAGCAGATGGCACGAGACTGGATATTTTGGAGGAGCGGACCTGGGAAAGGAAAACATATGGTGCGAGGACACACAGCTCCAGGATCCATCTACTGTTAATACACGTGTCATGCTCAACAGAATGGATAAATGGAATGGAGGATGGAACAATGACATACCACTGCACCCTGAGCATGTGTCGGAGACCGCATGGGAATAAAGTGGTGTATCTGCGTGTGTGTGTGTGTATAGCATGTGTGTGAAAATCAGTACGAGGGTAATCTCAGAGGGATAATGAAGCATTAATGGTAGTCTGCAATGAAAAACAAAAACACAAATCAGATAGTGTTTGTGAATGGTAAACTAAGAGGATATAAGAAATACTGGAGTGTCAATTGCAGCCTATTTTCTGAACTATATTTAATTTTTAACTAGGCTCTAGTTAGGCTCTCTTCTTCCCACTGCATTGTGACTTTGTTTTAAATGTACTGACCTACAAGACCTATTAACTTGTGGCTAGATTGTGGCAAAAATGGAAAACYACGACCCTCACTTACCTAACATGTTTATTCAGTGCTATTTTCCAAGTTGCTTGCCTGCATCTTGCCACACTTTATACATAAGCCGCCAGAGTCCATGATGATACCATTTTACTGACAGTACCACAAAGTTCTGAGTCACTTCCTCACACAACTTTATTGGTCCRAGTGAGATGTATGTGCTAGATGATCATGCCATGCTGGAATGATGTAACTGCTTAAGKTATTTTCATAACCTTGTCATGATTACAGTCAYAGCCTGGGTAAAATGTCAGAGTGACCAAATCTGCTTCAAACTGTCGACAACTAAATCATACTGCTAAATGCAGGCCCCGTGTCCCACACTGCTACTGCTGCCACTGCTGCTTCTGATGACCTGCAATAAAACCAGGGTCAAGATATGCTGCAGACATAATAATGACCCATCATAACCTTGCAACAAAAATGCCATGCTTTCTTATAATTACTGTGGATTGACCATGTTCTGTCACAAATAATGAAAAACCCACAGACCCTACAAAGATAATCTACATCCTGGGTAATTATTTATTTATTTTTAGTCATAGCAAGATTGTCATCCAATGGTAAGGAGACCTTAGCTAATGTTGAGTTTAAAGAGGAAGTTTTTGAAATAAACTTGAAGCAGGATTGTAAGATTTGAGATGTTTAAGTTCTTTTTTTACACCAGAAGGAAGACAAATTGAATGTTGGTGGTGGTTTCTGCCTAGTGCTGTTAGACAGCTGGGGTTAGGAAACAGTCAGACCAGTGCATCACTGTCAAAACTAAATCCCACCCATTAAAAGGCGGCGAGGAAAAGCTCTGACTTCCACCACAACTCTGATGAGTTAAAGTGAAGCCGGATGCAGACATCAAACTTGACACGCCTGAATGAACCCATTAAAGTTGACGACCTAAACAGCAGTCTGAATGCTTAATAGGATTATATATTTAAAATATACTGCTAATAAGAAATGACAAAATTACAATATAGCAACAACACATTTTTATTGTATTATATTTATAAATACATAGGTATGCTGTTTTAAAAGGATCACTGATTAGTTGTAACATTAGACTTTATTTGATAAACATTTATTTTAACTGTAAAATAAAGACTGTAAAAATACTGTAGGCTGTTTAGTTTTTATAATTTTTAAACTAAAAGTTAAAAAATATATTACACGGACGAGGCCATTTTATTTACACTCAAAGYATTCTGGGTAAATGATGACGTGGATAGGTCCTTGGTGTGAGGCTGCTAGCGAGCTATATCCACCCTGAAGATCAATCTTGGTAGATAGAAATGACTCAGCCTGTAACTGAAAATATAAATGGAGGACAACAGAGCTGCTTCATGGAAGAAGAACCTCAGCTTAGCCTGTTAGCTTTAGCATTAGCCCCGATGCTATCACCATATATATATGTATTAGCTCAGCGCTACACGTTCTCCTCTCACCACTGAGGTCCTCCATCCACATGACAGAGAGGGGAACACAAAAATGACTGCCTGCAACTAAAAATATAGATGGAGGACTTCAGTTTAGCTTGTTTGCCACGCTAGCGCCAAGCTAAAACATATAAGGCAAAATAGCCTTGGCGCTAGCACAAAGGCTAATATGCTAAGCTGAGGTTCTTCTTCCATGAAGCAGCTCTGTTGTTCTCCATCTATATTTTCAGTTACAGACTAAGTCATTTCTACCTTCTCCTCTCTGTCAACACTCTCTGGTTTCATTTAAAAGAGCAAATCATCAGATATTGTCCAAGATTAACCTTCAGGGTGGAAACAGCTCACTCACACGAGGACCTATCCACGTCACCATTTACCCAGAATGCTTTGTCTAAATAAAATGGCTCAGTCCGTGTTAAAATATACTTTAAAAAAATACAAACTAAACAGCCTACAGTATTTTTATAGTCTTTATTTTACAGTTAAAATAAATGTTTATCAAATAAAATCCAATGTTCCAACTAATCGGGGATCCTTTTAATTATGAATAGCTGATCATTTTTGAAGACGTTAAAGTAAAACTAAACAAATATTAATAACTTAATACAGTCATAACTTATGACTGTATTGATGTTTGAAGGAACAACACAAAGTAATTCTAATA